TTCAAAGAGTTATAGAATCACTGAGGTTGGAAAAAACTTTTAAGATAATGTAGTATGACTGTTAATCCAGCACTACCCTCTTCACTACTAAACCAAATCCACAAGTTTTACATCCACACATTTTTTGAATACTTCCAGGAATGGTGAATCTACCACTTCTCTGGACAGCCTACTTCATGGACCATCCTTGCAGTGAAGGAGTGTTTCCTTAGATCCAATCTAAACCTTCCCTCTCACTGTTACCTGGGAGAAGGGACTGACCCCCACCTGGCCACACCCTCCTTTCAGGTAATTGTAGAGAGTGATAAGGTCTCTTCTCATCCTCCTTTTCTCTTGGTTAAACATTCCCAGCTCCATCAGCTGCTCCTCTTAGGGCTTCTGCTCTAGACACTTCTCCAGCTCCATTGTCCTCCTCTAGACTCACTCCTGCCCCTCAGTGCCTTTCTTGTAGTGAGGGACACAAAACTGAACAGGGGATTTGAGGTGTGGCCTCACCAGTGCCAACTACAAGAGATCGAGATTTGATTTTCAATTACAAAGATCAGTTTTGATTTTCTGAATATCTATTCAAATTTTCTAGAAACAAGTCAGCTCAAGATCCTAAGCCCTAAACCTGGTAGGTTTGATCATCAGTGGTTTGGATTAGATTGAAACAGATAACCATGCAAGACAAACATATAGCAAAAGCTTGCTAATTACAGTGTGTGTAAGCAGTACTTCAGGTTTTCATATTCTGATGCTCTTAACTTGCCTACATGTATTTTCCAAAAGCAGCTTCCTCAGATATGGATGTTTATTTAAACAGCTGATAATCTATTTTGCTCAACAAAAGAACAGACACAGCAGCCTCCAAAAGGAGTTGATTCATTTTTAATAACATGTCAAGAAAAAGCAAAATTCAGTAATAATGCCTGCATATGACTAATACTTGTCTAAGAGATTTTATTGCAGGATGTTATTCTAAAACACTCTGAATAGCACCACTGACACTCCTGCTCAGCATTGAGAGCTCAATCAGGTGGTGATGGAATAGCAATTCCTTTGATCTGATTAGCACTTAGAGATATATCTTCCCACTTATGTTTACAAGTAACTCCCTTCTTTTTCATTGATGGGGAAAAGCCATTAAAAAGTCAAACAGCTAGCTGAACAACATAGTGGAAAATATGCTGCTGGAATAGGCAATAGGATCACAAACTGGCTGACTTTGGATGTTCAGGCTGTAGCAGTTGTGTCTTATTGGACACATTTTTTAATAAAAAGCCTTGAATACCTGTGTCCAAATATGCACAGTTTAATATTATATAAACTACCCTGAGCTATTTACCCCATGTGTAGAGAAAGGTTCTTCATATGTTAATCAATGAACCCACCGAGAAAATATAAAAAATTATTAATTGACTTGCTATGTTAGATAACAAAGTTTTGAAGGTACATAGAACACAGATATTTCTTTTTAAAAAGTTTAGAGACTGGGATGAATTTAGGACAATCAGTTCTAAACAGAAGTGGAGATATTCCCAAAAGCAAAAATGTTCTCCCATATTCAAGGCATCATGTCCTATTATCTTCAAACTTGGAAATAATGTTCCCTGAGGAGAGAAACCATGTGCAATCATTAGAAAATAAAAATCACAATGCGAGTGAAAAAGAAAAAAATATTATTTGCTGAGTTTCTGCCACAACCTTTCATGGAATTAGGGTTTTTGGGGCTGCAAGTTTTTACAGGAACTTCTTTTAGACAAGGAAAGCCATTATTGAAAGTTAAAATTAGAGAATAAAATATCTAAAAGAGAAAAAATAAAATAATTGTAAACACTAAAACTGCTTCAATAGAATTTATTGTGGCTTATTTTTCTGATTTGTTGGAATCCAGAAAACTTTCAATTGGAATGCTCCCTTTGAGGCATCTCCCTGTGCAATACTAGAGCTGCTTGCTCAAGCAGCCCTGGCAGATTTGTCTTAGAACAAGGCAAATTCCTATTGCAAATTCCTTCTTTAATTGGTGCAAAGGGAAAGGACACTGGTGATGTCCTATGATTTCCTTGCCGTCCTTTTGGAAGGCTGGGTTGTATCACACAAGATTTACTTACCTCAAACAATAACTGCACAGTATCAGGAATACATAAGTCCATTGAATGGTGCAGACTTCATAAACAATACATAATCCTGTGGAGGGATTTCACAGCAAATGATTGTGATAAGGCTAGGAAACCTAACTTTCTGTGATTTGCAATAAATTATTGCTGTTCACTAAATCTTGGAGTGTCTCCAAGAAAAATGGATTTTCACCATTCTGACATTTAAACATCACAATCCTGAAAGCTCTCTGAATTATTTTAGACATGCAGATTTACCTGACAATAGCAGATGCACCCTGAGCAGCTTTTTAACAGCAGCACAGACTTTGTGACTGTTTCAAAATGAATTTCAGAAAATCCATATGAATATCACTGTACTGATAATTTGTGTCCCATCATTGCTTTTTCAACCTTCTCATTATTTGAGATCTGTGTATCCCAGTAAAATATAGTGAAATATATAGTCACACTATGTACTTTCCTTTTTGAGATTAATATACTTTCTACAGGATGAATGACTAAAATAATGACTAATCTGTCCTTTTACTCTATTATAATGCAATATTTTTCTCTCTTAATATGAATTTCTTTGTGATTATTCCATATTTTCATCAATGTAATGGATAGTTACAGTTTGTCCAAGACACATACTTTTTTTTTTTCACCAAATCCTTTTTAATATTTCTAGTCTTTAAAGCTATGCCAGCATTTTCTCCCTATTTCTCTCTTCCTCTCTCTCTCTATTTTATTAAAGCATCCGCATTTTTAATAAGTTTTCTACAGACTTAACTACCTCTTCCCCCAGGAAATAATTCCTGTTCTTATGCCCCAATGATTTATTTTAGTGTTTCCATGGAATAATCTTGTAGACATTTATTCATGGCCAGTGAAGTCAGTAATGTGTTTTTAACTGCTCCATCCACCCCCATATCAGTGCAGAATATTATTAACACCTGTATTTCTAGTTATGTACATATTTCTTCCACATCAGTTCCACTGCATTGCTCCCTTAGGATCAGACTAATAAAGGTAGTGTAGTGTTTACAAATTCTAAGAAGCTTTTCTCATATGAGCTTCCTAGTGATAAGCTAAATAATAAATGAGCATGACCTTTATGAATTTGACTTGGCTGCAATTCCTGAAGAACTCCTATACTCTTTATTGTGTCCTGATTCTTCATGTCACTCCAATCTGAGCTCCAGCAGATAAAGCAAAGCCATACGAACTACAAGAGCGGCACCAGATATTGCCTTTCTTACAAATGCCAGACCAGTGAAGGTGAATGAGGTTAATGCCTCCAATTACAGATTTGAATGAGGCCTTTTAAATAAGTTTGAGCCTGTGATTAACAACTTGCTGGAATTTTTTCCTTTGGAAGAAATTTTGATACAAATCAGAAGGGAGACTTGAAATTTATGTATTGAAATTTTTCACTCTAGAGAATTCATAAGAATCAGACTGCAAACCATTGGCTCAGTTGTGATCTTTGCTACAAGACCAGCTCACAGTCCCTTATTACCCACAAAGTTCACATATGTGGTGAATTAATACATGTAATCTAACCATACATAAAATTCTATGTATATCCTGGTAAAAACTATAAACTGTTTTTAACCAACATCTATGCATAAAGACAGTTTCTACTTATATAATTTCTGTCTACCATATATTTCATCTTGGCAGTCTTGTTAAATAACATTTAATAGTGCGTAGTTACATATTTACTGACAAGAATTGTTACATATACCTCCTTTTGACTATTTGTTTTCCAAACACATAAATATATACATATATAGTAGAAAACCAAAAAAATATAATAATAATAATAATAATAATAATAATAATAATAATAATAATAATAATTTACCTATATGATATTTCTGACAGATAAGAACTTGGGTAGCTGTCATCCAGATACCATACATATAATAGTATAATATTAGTAGAAGTCAGCATTTTGTGAAGACTGGTGCACCTCTCAGGGAAGTGACTGACAGACTGTAAGCTGGCTTTTTTTATGATTTAACATACTGTAACTTAGTAGACACATCATGTAACAAAATGTGAATACCTTTAACTTCCATCAATACTGGGTCATAGACCAAAAATGCCTTTGCCCCATCTATATTTTATTAAGCTAAAATCCATCTATCTACAACCGCCTGACAATTAAAAAAACCTCATAGAATTAGTCAATAGTCCTTAAAATAAAATGAGTCCTACATAAATTTTTCCTAGTTGTTTTTTTTTTTTTTTTTTGCAGCTCATGCAGTGCTGTGTTTTGAACTTAATACAAGAATAATATCAATACCTCATTGATACTTGCAGCTGAGCAATGCTTATTCTTAATCAAGGACTTCTCAGTTTCCCATGATCTGCCGATGCAGGTGCACAAGAAGGCAGGACACAGCACAGCCAGGATAGGCTAGTAAAATATGTTCTTCTTATTAAAAGTGAATTCTTATTGCAAGAAGTTCTGAAATGGGCACAGGGTCAAAAAGAAATGCTGTTACCTACCAGTGACTGGTTTGAGGCTTGTAATAGCATAGACACCTTTTAGTGTACTCAAATCAGGCCTTTGTTCAGTATAAATCAAGGTAAAAACACTTATGACAGTGGTTATATATGGATTTATAGATACTGAAAATCCATGCTTTTTGTAATCAGAAAAGGCAATACATGAAAAAAAGATCTTCTGAACAGTACAAGCAATAGAACATCATGAAATAATTGTGGTAATTGCCTCAATAGCTTATTTGTGCTCCCTTTTTTAAGATGTCATCTCATTCAGTCCCATTCTATTTTATTCCATCCTTTCTGTCCCATTCTGTTCTCTTCTGGGTTTTTCAGACTGAAAATACATAAAATACCACATACCTGGAATACTGTTAAGTCCTGATCTGGATCAGTATTTTTTTTCTGGGGACTACTTATTTCACAGTGTAAACTTCACTGATGGGTTTTCAGTCCCTTTCTTGCTGTGAAGGAACACAAATCATAGAAACTAAAAACATCCTTGAGACTCCAGAAGTCTCAGTTTAAAGCTAGTATTTTTACTGAAAATCAAATCTTGGAAAAAACTTATCATGAAAACAAATATACTTACTTGTTCTTCTTTTATGGCAAAAGCATCTGTAATGCAGCTAAAACAGCAAAAGAAGGCTTTTGTCAAAACTCAGCATCACTTTTTTAAAGCAGTTAATATGCATACATCATATTAAATCCTTTTATCAAAATGCACATCATACTACATTCTACTACCCCAAATGCAGCAAAAAGTCTCTCTTGCAACAAGTTTAACAAGTGCTTGAATAAAGCAGAAAACTCTTTTCATTCTAATGCATGTTGGCAGAGAGGCAATGGTCTGACAATAAAGAATTCTTTTGTATGCCAGAAATGTTCAGAAAGAAAATATGACATTTAGCTACAGAATAATAACCATGAAAATAAAAACTACATTCACTATTGCATTGCTACTAGAAACTGATTTTCAAAATTATTATAATATAAAAATAAAACTAAAACAATAGCCAGCAATTTTATGCAGTATGTCAGCATTCATCAAATATTTCAAAACAGTGAAATATTTAAAGTTTAATATTTAAAGTTCCCATAGACTTTTTTTGGAAAATAATAGCAAATTATCCAATAACAGAAAATTGTTAAATAGTGAAAGAGATTGCAAATCCTAAGAAAAGTTGAAGAATAATTATAGATCCAACAAATATTAATTGTCGGGGGTTTTCCTTTAATCAATTTACAATTCTAGGGCACTGAGTAAATATTTTTGGCCTTTAAAGTACCAACAGATTTTGACAGAATTACATAATTTTAAGATGCTTTCTATGGAAAATACGTGCCTAAATAACTGCTAACTTTGGGTGTCTCCATTTTTCCTCATTTCTTTTTCTAAATCCATCTTAAACCAGCTAAAATTAGAAATATGAGTTCTGTCATCATCATGTCCCAACTCCTTCCTTCTGCTATGTTACAGAGAAATCCACATAAGGCAGGGATAACTAAGGTTTCAGCAGCACATGTGAAAACTTGGAGTGTTTTCTCAGACAGAATGTTCACACCTAATTTCTGTTTTTCCTTCCACCCAGTTTACAAGCTAATTCCAATTACAGCACTGGAGAAGAGATTGCAACACCTGACTGGTCAATTCAAAAGGTACTGACAGGCCAACAGAGACATGTAAGTGATGTTTCTTTTTACAAAAGTGTCCTGCAGCATGTACATAATAAAATGACAGTAAGATTGTAAATGATCCATAGAATAGCAGAAACATTTTTCAGAATGGCATTTTATCTTTAGCATGTTTCTCTCCATGACAGCTCAGTAATCTCTTGTTATTTGTGTTGATGAACCTTGGGCAAATGCCCCCATTGTATTTAACAGATTGGTTCCCCAATAAGCAACCTGAGGTCACAGGTCTGTTTTCATATCCTACAAATCTGCTCTTGAATTTGTGCTTAATTATCATTTTCATGGCCAAAATCACAGGACAAATAACAGAGATTTGATTGAAGCAAATAGATTAATAAAAACAGCATTATCTCAACAGCATTTTTACAAACTGTCTGCCTATGAATAATTAACATTTTGAAATCAAGTCTAACCAAAACCAAAACAAATCAGTACAAGCTAGATTACAGTTCAAGACCATTTGGAGTGTAATCTTTGGGGATTCAGGTCTGTTCCAGAGCACTTTAAACTCTGTTACCTTCGTTCTTTCCTGCTGAGGATGAATCCGATCTCTGACACCAACAGCTGCTCAAAACATTCCAAGCTCATTATTTGCCAGTTTAATCTGTAACATCAATGCACCACTGGACCCTCTACAGCCCCACATGCCATGATCCTTTCTTTGTCCCAACCCAAGTCTCTCTAAATGATGCCTTCATCTTCTTCATGTAATTTTACCACAGGGCTCAGTGGGTACAGAGGTCCTCACACTGGCCTTCACAGCACAGACAAACGCTGCCTCAAGGATTAAGGCATTTTTCACAGCAGACTGTTAAGCATTGTCATTCTTTAACCTTCAATCTCTTTTCATGCTTACTCTTCAGTTTTTAGAGCAGTAGGTCATAAAAAAGCTTGAAGCTGAAATACTGCCTTAAGCTGTTTAATTGTGATTTTAATGGGTCATTGTGTTTTTAAATTCGCCATGTACATAAACTAAAAAAAGAAGAAAAAAATCTATTAAAAAAAAGTTTACTTTTTCATAAGGTTGGAAGATCTAGTTAGAGAATGGTATGAAGGATGTGGCTGATGAAGTGACAGACAAAAATGCATCAATTGGCATAAAGGGTGCCTTTATTCTGGAGAGCACAAGTGGTATATGTGGGGAATGCTTTATAGGGGAAGAAGAGTGGTTGCTGTCCTAAGAAGAGAATTTTTACATAGTCCTATCAAGAAGCCAGGTTGCTTACAGACTACTAAATTGTTGTTATTAATCTTGAAAAAATTATTCTCTAAAGCAAGGAAGGGTATCCCTTGATGCTATTACAAAACTGTTTCTTTCCTTCTATTTCAAAGAAAGCCGTATGAGTCACTTGCATGAAACCACATTTTTCCAGCTTATTAAGGCTTCACATAAAGAAACTACTGCAGAACAACTAACCAGTAATAGTTAGTCTGAATTGAGTTACAAGATAAAAGATATATTTATTTGCCTTTAAGTAATGAGTTCTTCTTCAAGGATTTACATATTCATCCCAACAAACTATTTTTTTCATTTGCACATTTCTTGAAAAGAATCTATCAAACCAAAATATTTAAATTTCTTCTTCAGCTTTTAATGATTTAATACATTTAAATACATTTATTTAAATGTATTTCTGTGTATATAAATAGTTTTAATATTGTCCTCCATTCCTATTAATACTTCTGCAATGACAGTACAGCAAGGAAATTATAGGAAAGGAAAAGGGAGGGGTTTGGGATTTTTCCAGATCAACTTAACACCCAATCCAAGGAGCAGGAGTTTAGCATGCAGCCTCGATTTCTGTAGAGCCTCACTGATTTCCACATTTTTCTGTGAATACAGAAAATATTTCATTATTCTAGTTTAAACAATCTTTTTCCCAGGAAGAAGAAAGTTTCCTGTTGAAAATAAACAAAATAATTAACTTTTTAAAATTATAATAAGGTGACTGTTACCAAAAAAAAATAATATTCACCATAGTTAATTTTTTCTCTTACTGTAATATAATTTGACATGGATTGCAGCAAAAAATGTTATGTTATACTATAGGGTGTTATTCCAGGTTAAGGATGGGGACAACTCCAAAGGAGAGTCAAAATTATATACTAGAATAAAAATTTGCCTTTTTGGCATTCACAGCTGGATGGATCTTGAGAAGCTTTCACAGCTGACTGAATTCAAGGGCATCCTAACATATGCAGACGCACAATTTTTTTTTTTTAAAGGGAGAGGCTTAGTAACTAATCAATCTCCCTCTGCTGGACACACTATGTAACCCTGTTTGGACACTGCATAATGACCATGGTGTTCTTTTGCCTTTATTGAATGAAATAAACTGCAATTTTCAAGAGCTGTCACCTCTCTCTCTCCCTCCCTCTTTCCCTCCCTCTCTTTCCAGCTTTTCCTTTTGTTCTCATTGAAACAAGCATAATAACAATGTTGGTCCCTCCAAACACTCTCCATGTTCTGTTGAACTTCTCTTGTAAATGCTAAACCCTTTTGTCTTTCCCTGTGGGGATTCCCTTGCCTCCAAATTTCTTTATGCAGTGGTCAATTTATATTGCAGAAAAATCTTACCAATGTGCTCTCCCAGTTTACATATCAAATGTAAAAAACAATTTCCTTTCTTCTATTTAAATTGTTTGAAGAATCTATTTTGAGGTATAAATCCAAGTAAGTGAGACATTTTCTCCAAAACAAAGAAGGAAGAAAATGTCAACAATTTCTTTATGTCAATTCTTCCAGTCCTAGATTCTGTGCATATATTGGTGTCCCAAAATTTTAGAATAAACACAAATTTTTCCATGCAAAATACATCAAGTCTGTCCCAGAAGGACAACACAAAATATATTGACATGCTTTCCTTTTTATACACCATCTACTCAGGAGAGACAGGGAAAAAAAATCCACTTCTTGTGAAGAGGATTTACAAAGTAATGCATAGAGATCCCTGGAAATTTTCAAGGCCAGATTGGATGGGATTTTGAGCAAACTGACCTAGTGGAAGATGTTTCTGCCCATGGCAGAGGGGTTTGAACTAGAAGATCTTTAAGATCTCATTTAACCCAAATCATCCTATGGTTCTATGATCAGTGGTTAAGGAACTTAAAGGAACTGACTTGTACAAAACTGTATATAAGAGGTGTCCTCATAAATTTTAAATTCTGAAAGACACACAAGTGTTTCACAAATAAGAAAGAGCAATATAAATACTTCAGTGTATTTCAAAACAGCAGTTGATTCTGTAAGAACTTGTACTTCAATAATTCTAACCTAAAACAAAAGTTAAATTTTGTATCATAAGCAGTATATTAGGAAGTTACGGTACAGAAGACAACATCAAACAGTGAAATCTGAGGGATGTGTATGGAATTATCATAGTACTGTCAGTATGTCAGAATCTGTCTTCTAGTGTCTCTTCCACTTGTGTCAGGTTTAATAAAGATTAAATAGGTCTCAATTTTATGACCTCCTGACCACAATTTTTTAATGAATTCTTTTATAATGTTTTGGGGGTTTTGTTTGGTTGATTGGTTTGTTGGATTCTTTTGCCAATCCTACAAGATTGTTTCTGTCTTTCAGTTTCTTCTTCCAAACTTCCTACTTTCCACAACAAAGTCTCAGCTTGTCAGCTCTGATCAGACTTGTTTTCAATACACTTCCTTTTGTTCTCCAGCACTCAGGCTTGTCCTTCTAAATGTTCACCAGTTTGATCTTGTGTCTTTTTCTTGTCTAATTCTTGGCCTAGAATGTTCAATTCCATTTAAACTGTTACCTTTCTGGCCAGTCCAATTGTTCATTATAGGTCAAAACTATAAACTGGTGGATGGAAAATTGTACTGATGCTTTAATACTAGCAGCCATAAGTCCATTTAGAAGACCTTGATGATTAAAAATTAGGCTAAGTGAGAAAATGCAAGTCTCTGAAGTGGATATGATGATTTTAGGATTTGACTCAGAAAACTGAACAGAAAACATAATAGAAATATTTCCTCAATTTTGTATTTTAAAAAAATCATTATCTCTATATAATGGGAAATCCAGCCTCCAAACTGGACTAATAGTTCATTCATCAATGTTTCTGTGACACCTGCAAGAAATTAGCCAAGCAATAATAGCTTGGTGCAGAAACTGCAAGAAAATGTCTGATAGCTATATATCAACAAAACATAAAAGGTAAACTTATTTTTGAATTAATATTTTTCTTGCTAAATGCACTTTTGTTGATATATAGAATCCAGTTCCAAGATTTCAGTGCAGTTTTATTTTAGTAAATTTTATGAAAAATGTTAGCAGTGTTTTTGCCTAAATGATTACATTCTAAAAGCCATTGGGAAAATGTTTGTTCATACTCATTCAAAATTATGACATTGTTTAATTTTCTGCAACAAAGAACAGAAAAAAAGTCTTATTTTTGCTCCAGTAATAATCAGAAAATAAATTCAATGGGGAACTTGTCTACCGATGCTGCAAGCATACTACAAACTCCTCATCCATGAGAAAGAAAGGCAATAAAAATGCCTTTCATGAGGGGTCAACACCTTTAACACAAAACAGATAAACACATTCAGTTTCTGTCTATCACAGAGCATTTTCTGATGGAACTTTAAAACACTTGCATGTAACACCCTCATGTCCTTAAAACTGGTAAATGTTTGGCAACATGCTATTAGCCCTGTGCATACCAAAAATAAACCTTTTTCTTCTCTTCCTGCTTTTATGCTCACATATTTCAGACAACCAAAGCATATGTAAAAATGTTGCAAAGGGTTAGAGTAGCACAGGATACTATTGTTAGCATTCTACCTTGTATATATTCTTTTCCTCATTTTGTATCCTAAATACAGCAAGAAATGGGTATGCATTCTGAAAGAACAAAAAATTTACAAAGTTAAAACCAAGTAATTGCTCTTTGGTGACATATTCATGTATAAGGACCCAAAACTTCACACTGAAAATGTGCATATACATCTATTTTTTTGTTTTTCCTCTCCATATTTTAGTCTGTATCAGCACTGCTCAGCAATAACTAAAACTGTGTTCCCAATGCTGTTTTTGTCACAAACCCAAACCATAGCCCTATTCAAACTACTACAAAGAAAATTAACTCTATTATAGTCCACATCAAACAACAGGTTTTCGTTAAGTTGTAATGATGTTCAGTAATGTTGCTTTGCTGTGCCTTAGACCACAGGGAGTCACTGCAGTACAAAAACTCATTGAAGCACCTCTACAGACCAGTGGATCATGGGACACTTTAATGCAGAGCACAATGTACATGTGTGGTGTCTTTCTGTGCTTTCTGAGATCAACTCTCTAAAAATCTCCGTTCAGATAGGACAATCTGCTGCCAGGCTGTTTATATTCCCACTTTGGAAAGTAGGCCTGAGATTGATTTATATTTGTCAGACATTGACAGGAAATGCTCAAGCAACCAATTGACAATATTTTCTACCCCTTGAAACATCTTAAGATATTGTTTGATTATGCACAAATAATTATTTGTCAAAGTTACAGCTAGTAAATTGGCCTTCTTAGTATGAGTGTTAGCAGTAAAGCACTACTTCAACGTTTACATTTAATTTTAATTTTTATTTCTATTGCCTCTAATTATGGTGAGCTGGTAACACAAGAGAAAAAAATATTAGTTGTAAAATCAATGCTGTAGAAAATGGATTTTAAAGGACAATCTAAATGCAGTTTTAGATGCAGTTAACATTTGAATGCTGAATTTTCATTGCTAAGTGTGATAAAAGTGTGTTAGCTCATACTATCCTATATATAATTAGACTAGCAGTGTATTGAGAAATTGTACAAACAGAGTCTTCTCATCCATATTTTTAAGCTATTGCACTTTAAGTGTAATCTGTCACTTGGTAAGTTTTTCAGTTCTGTAGAATATCCTGATAATCTTGCTATTCTATTCCATATACCTTTGTCATAAATGGCTATGTGTACCTGTGCATATGACAGACCAGAACATCTTCATTTTTATATAATCCCAGATTCTTTATGGTGTGGAACTGCTTTACAGATCTCCTCATAGTTTGTAGTTTCCATATTCTCTGTATGTAGTCAGTTGGCTCCTTATTCATCTGCTACATATTTCACATAAAAGGCTGCTAAGAAATTGCTAGAGGGAACACAGCCTTCTCAATTTGCTTTCAGATATGTTTGCAACAAAATCATTGTGAACAATGATCAAGTCTAATATTGACTCCTATCAATATCAAGCAAGGAACCACTATTAGAGGGAATTGTGTGTGTGTTTATTAGGGAGCAAGTATTCTAAGATTTTAACAAATCTATATTAAAAAAAAAAGTAGGAATTTTCTAATTGTAAGCTAAGATCACATGTACATTAATTATGGAAAATCATAGATTTCATGTTTTGGAAAAGGACATTCCCAGGTAGCACTACCACCTCTTGACTGAGTTCCCCACTGGTTTGCTGAAGCTTGAAATTTTCTTATTAGCCAATGAGGTGATTTCTGTGCAACATCTTAAACTTTCCAGATGTGACAAGAGTGAGCTGGGAATAGGGATAAATGGTAGTACTGGACTTGGACACATTTTTGTTGGGTCTTTTCTTTGTTGGTTTTGTTGTTTGTTTTGCTGTTTTGAGATTTTTTTTATTTGCTTACTGATAAAAAGAGGAAAGTACACCATTAATATCACACATAAATGTTGATAATTGATCTGAGACAGGTTAAACTAATACATTAGCAATAAAAATACCCACATTTAGGACATTTTTCTAAAGTCAGATAGATGACCAAAATAGAAATTGGATACTGTGCAGAAAATGTTAATCAATAGGAAGTTAGCCAGAGCAGAACTATGATCATACAAAGTCAAAATCAGTAATATAAAAAATAAGAATATATAAAATAAGAATAAGATAAAATAATATCTTCTTGTGATAAAACATATCTTTTAAAATTGAATCCTACATTTTTTAAACATGGTAGGTGGGAAATTGTCAAAAACAATAGAGGAGTTTGATGGTGTGGTGGGCTGATGTTGGCTGGATATCAGGTGTCCACCAAACTATTCTATTATTCAGCAAAAAAATGTAGAGGGGATAAAATAAGAAAAAAAACCCTCATAGGTGAAGGTACAGACAGTTTTAAAAGCAAAAGAAAAGGTCATGCATGAAAGGAAAGAAAAATTCTGTACCTCTCATCAGCAGGCAATGCCCAGCCAGATCCTGGGAAGCAGGACGTCAGCTGTGTAGTGGTTACTAGAGAAGGCAAATATCATTACAGCAAATTTGCACCCCTCTCCTCCTCTTTTCTCAGCATTTATGTCTGAGCAGACATCACATGGTATGGAATAACTCTTTCGTCAGATTGGACCAGTTTCCCTGGCTGTGTCCTCTCCCAGGATCTTTCCCACTCTCAGGTTACTGATGAGAGGGAATGTTGGGGAATCATTCTTGGTGCTCTGTGAGCCCTTCTCAGCAGTAGCCTAAGCTCTGGTGTGTTATCAATGCCTTTCTAGCCACCAATGCAAGGCACAGCACTCTGAGGGCTGCTGTGGGGAAAATTAAGTCCATCTCAGACAGACTCAGTACAGATGCATCTTCGTTTTAACAGTTATTTTTGTATACATAATGAAGACATTTTCTGTTAAGAGAAGTAAAGCAAAATTCTGAGATGTGATCCCCTCCCAGTTTACAGCTCTGAAACATCTTAGCATAAAAATGCCTCATAACAATGTTTCAGAATTAAGTAGAGAATTTTTAGAGGAGTAGTTGAAAGAAATTTGCTGTGAATGCTTCTTCCTTGGGAGGTGTTCCTTCTCCACCCTGTAGAGACAGAAAGAAAAGAAAAAAAAATCTTTAAGTGAAATCCAAACATGATAATGATTACTTATTAGCTGCTGTTTACTCACTCTGCAGATAGATGCTTCTATATCCAAAGTCATTCAGCCCTCATGAGATAATAACAATTAACATTCTTGCAGCAGATTAAACATTTAATTTTATTTTAAAGCTGAAATGGTCAAATGGAAAACGTGAGATGAACACAAGTACTAAGGACTACTTTCTATAATTCTAACTTGAACCTACCCTTTACCAGTTTTTGTTACTGTGAGATTTGTGGAGAAAAAAGCATGACTGTTTACTTTCTGACTTAATTGTAATTCAATAATTCCCTAGATTAAATGCCTTTTTCTATCAATATTTTATTTCAAACTGAAGATCAAAATATGTATAATTTTTATGTTAGAAAAACAGTGAAAGCACTTAAATAAGGTTTTCATCTCTGTAAGTTAAGATACTTTCAAAAATACTAATCTTATTTTATCTTTATCAAATAAACAAATATGTGATATTTAATGTATATTTTACTCTTTCTTTTTATGATACACAAATGAACCAGAAATAGAGTACAGTTTATTAGGTCTGTTATTTGCTTTTTCTTCTTTTTCTCATCATTATTTCCTTTATAATGCTGAGAATAATTTGTGATAATGACATGAATTTCTTGTTTGAGTTGTTCTCCTTTTATCTAACCATTTATGCATTTCTGTTTTATAAGTGGATAATGAGAAAAAACAAGTAAAGATTTGCAAAGATGTGCAAATACATGAAATGCTGTACTGTCAGCCTGCTGAGATACAAAAGGAATGTTTTCAAAATTGTAGCTGAAAACATTCAATTTATCATTTTCTATCTGCACAAAAAAAATTGCATATTTTCTTAAGAAAAGATTTTTTTTTTTTAAAAATTTTGGGGATGAGCACAAAGCTGGTATAGAGTGGAATCCTTTAGGTACTCTGCATACTCAGTTGTTAAAAAAATTTGGGTGACTGAAAGAGGTTCAGGATTTGAGTGATCAGGCGTGAAGTATGTGTGTTTATTTTTTGTTCTAGTTTTCCTTCCTCCACTGTGTTAAGCAAGACTTATTTACAATTTGTCCATGAGGCATATTAAATAATTTTCAAATAATGAAAGAAATAAATAAAAATACCATATTTCTTTTCCAAAGTGTCCCATCATTGCCATCTTTGAGATTCGCAGGTGCTCCTCAGGTCATAGAATTATATATAAAGCTCTGTGGGAAAAATCAGAATAATACAAAAAATATTTTGTACTTGTCTTTAGTAATGATAAAGTTAATTTTTTTATGGTAGCTGCTCTCGTGCTGTGTTTTGTGAAATCTGAGTGAACATCATTAAGACTCTTACATTAGACTTTCAGAGAGCAGACTTTGGCCTATTTAGGAGACTTAGAGATTTCCTTGGGAAGCAGACCTGAAAAACAAAAGAGTCCAGGAAAGGTGGGCATGCTTCAAAACAGAGATCTTGAGGGCATGGGAACAGACTGTCCCTGTGTGCCAAAAGATGAGCTGATGAGGCAAACGTCCAGCCTGGATGGACAATGAGGTTTAGAAGGAACTTGGGAATAAAAAGGGAATCTACCATCTTTGTAAGGAGGGTCAGGTCTCTCAGGAAGTATTTAAGGGGGTTGCTAGGGCATGTAGGAAAAAAATTAGAAGCCAAAACTCAGTTCAAACTTAATTTGACAACTTTCATACAGGATAGTAAAAAAATATTTTTACTAATATATTAATGGCAAAAGGAAGGGTAAGACCAACCTTTGTTCTCTACTGGATGTGGGAGAGAACCATGTATCTGCAGATGAGGAGAAGGCTGAAGTGCTTAACACCTTCTTTGCCTCAGTCTTTAGTGGGAAGACAGCTTGTCCTCAGGACAACTGTCCTGGCTTGGCAGATGGTGTCAGGCAGCAGAATGGTTCCACTGTTATCCAGGAGGAGGCAGTCAGAGAACTGCTGAGCTGCTTGGATGTTTATAAGTCTGTGGGACCAGATGGGATATCATAGCAAGGTTCCCCAATCAGGTAATAAGCTACATAGACTTCATGTATTTACAGAAGGCTGATTGTTTATTTTCAATAGGAACCCATATCCTAGTTCACTACAGGTAGACCTAATTAGTCCTCTAATTAAAACAACATCACCATTGGCTTTGCTAAACAAATCTCCATAATGCATTCCACATGTTCACAATACCAGGTAAAGTAAGCTAATTGAAGCTAATTGTTTCTCATCTTTTTCTCTGATCTTCTCACAGACTTTTCCTGGAACAATGCCTGGGAAAATTGTCTGTTTCTCTCTGTGGCCAGAGAGCTGCTGCCACAATGGGATCCATCCCAGGATGATGAGGGAGCTGGCAGATGAGCTTGGGAAGCCACTCTCCATCATTTACCAGCAGTCCTGGCTCACTGGTGAGGTTCCAGATGACTGGAAGCTGGCCAATGTGACACCAGTTCACAAAAAAGGTAGGAAGGAGGATCCTGGTAATGAGAGGACACAGTCTCAAGCTGCATCAAGGGAAATATAGGTTGGATATTGGGAAAAAGTTTTTTACAGAACAAGTGCTAAAGTACTGGAATGGTCTGCCTAGGGAGGTGGATATGGATATGTTTAAAAAAAGACTGGATGTGGCACTCTCTTCCATGGTCTAGTTGATGTGTTAGGGCTAGGTTGGACTTGATGATCTTGAAGGTCTCTTCCAACCTAGTCATTCTGTGATTCTGTGTTTATAATTTCATAACATGAATGTTTTAGGTTCTACTCATATAGAGTCAAAGCCTTTTTCACTTTTCACACCACCCACAAGTGATATGGCAGCACCCAAGAAGTTGTGAGGGCACAGAGCCATAACAGCTGACCGCAGCTGCCCAGCAGAACATCCAAGACCATACGGCATCATGCTCAACAATAAAAACTGGGTGAAGGAGAAGAAAGAGGGAGACACATCTGGAATGATGGTGTTTGTCTTGCCAAGTCACTGGATGGAGCCCAGCTTTCCTGGAGATTGTTGAACTGCCTGCCTTTGGGAAGTGGTGAATGAATTGCTGATTTTATTTTGCTTGTGTGGACAGCTTTTGCTTTACTTATTAATCTGTCTTTAATGCCACTGATGAATTTTCTCACTTTAAATTTTCTTTCCTCATCCCACTGAAAAGCAAGCATTGAGCAATTCCTCTGTGGGGCTGAGCTGCCCACTTGGGGTTAAACTACAAAATAAGATAGGTAAAAATGGCCATTTCACAGGGTACTCCAGAAGAAAATTAAATATATTTTTAAAATTTTAGGCAAAACTTGGATATTCCTTTTGGGCATATATATATATATATATATTTAATTTAGCTCTGGTGGAAAGTTCAGTTATCATAAAATGCATTATCTTTTTTTTTAATTCTCTGTTCTTTTTCCTAAAGGAGGAGATAAATCTATCAAATTGTTCCTTTATGCCTGATCTCCTTTGACTTTTTCCAGATATTTCCTGACATTGATCCTCATGATTAATATCCTTGTCAGGAACATTGCTGCTGTTTTTCCTTGTGTTGCCATCCCTTTCAGCTTTGGCTGTTTATTCTCAAAACACTTCCACTGATGTGGGGCTCTGAGGAGGCTCTCCTATCTAATGTCCAGAAGTTGCTGAGGTGCAAGTGACCTTATCAGTGAGTCAGACTTCACTTGGGAAGTGTTAGGCACCACACTGATTTTTAAAACAGATGTTCAATCACACAGGCACATTAACTGAGATGGAAGATGAAATTGATAATAGGTGGCTGTCTACCCCTGTGGCATTTCCACTGTGAGAAGGTGTTCTGCTTATAACAATATATTGTCTGTATCAGAACACAATGGAACCAAGAGCACTGAGACACACTCATGGTAAAGATTTACAGTTGTTTAAACCAGAGCTTGTCTTTGTAGCACACTATTGAATGTGTATGTACATAAACACGCAGATGACAGAGGCAGAAGGAAATAGAAGGAGACAAATAGATTAATGGAAGAAAATATAACAGGCTACAAAGAAAGTAAAAGCTGAGGTGTTTTGCTACATGTATCTCACTTGGTTTTGCTTTCATATGTGACGGGAGGAAGGTTAAGAGTCAAAGAACTTCAGAGCAGAGGATGGTTGGGGATGGACAGCTCTAGAGTTTTGTGTGATTACTGTCTGTAGGAGCAACAGATATCTCTCTTGTTTCACTTTTGGCACTGAGGGCAGATGGGAATATTGGTGACTCAGGACTGTACACCTTTATGTAGGTTCTTGCCCTCCTCAACTGCAGACAGACTCTCAGCTGGCTGTACCTGGTCTACTGTCCATGAGATGCTGAAGGAGACAGTGACCATGGACATGGCTAACAGTTTTTTCTCCTAATTTATTAGTATCTGTAGGAAGATTCCAAGGGCAAAGGCACTATGGAGAATT